ATGTGGATATTTGCTTTGAGAGCGGGTATCAATGTGGATATTTGCTTTGAGAGCAGATATCAATGTGGATATTTGCTTTGAGAGCAGATATCAATGTGGATATTTGCTTTGAGAGCAGATATCAATGTGGATATTTGCTTTGAGAGCGGATATCAATGTGGATATTTGCTTTGAGAGCGGATATCAATGTGGATATTTGCTTTGAGAGCGGGTATCAATGTGTATATTTGCTTTGAGAGCGGATATCAATGTGGATATTTGCTTTGAGAGCGGGTATCAATGTGTATATTTGCTTTGAGAGCGGATATCAATGTGGATATTTGCTTTGAGAGCGGGTATCAATGTGTATATTTGCTTTGAGAGCGGATATCAATGTGGATATTTGCATTGAGAGCGGATATCAATGTAGATATTTGATTTTTTAGAGTGGGAGTCACGGTGGTGTGTGTGTACTCACCTAATTGTGCTTGCGGGGGTTGAGCTTTGGCTCTTTGGTCCCGCCTCTCAACCGTCAATCAACTGGTGTACAGATTCCTGAGCCTACTGGGCTCTGTCATATCTATATTTGAAACTGTGTATGGAGTCAGCCTCCACCACATCACTTCCTAGTGCATTCCATTTAGTAACTACTCTGACACTGAAAAAGTTCTTTCTAATGTCTCTGTGGCTCATTTGGGTACTCAGCTTCCACCTGTGTCCCCTTGTTCGCGTCCCTCCAGTGTTGAATAGTTCATCCTTGTCCACCCGGTCGATTCTCCTGAGGATTTTGTAGGTTGTGATCATGTCCCCTTGTGTGTGTGTGTGTGTGTGTGTGTGTGTGTGTGTGTGTGTGTGTGTGCTGGCTCGCGCCATCCAGTGAACAGGTAATCAATAGACAATAACCAGCGACACAGTTTGCAATGCCGTCCTGACAGGTAACATCAGCCTGAACACACCTGACGACATAGTAATTACCTCACTAACATGAGACCTATTATCTCTCTCTCTCTCTCTCTCTCTCTCTCTCTCTCGCTCTCTGAGTTTTCTGTGCGTGTGTGTGCTAGTTATTGAATATAATTAAAGTGGGGTTAGATAGATAATTCTAGCACGAATATCGTAATGCTAAAGTCACTAATCTAACACTTTCGGGCATATTCAACAATCAGTGTCGTCCAGACCCCCCCCCTCTCTACACATCCAAAAAAAGTTGGAAATATTGAAATTGTTCCGTAAATAAAATCGACCATATTTTGTGTTATAAGATATTAAGAGCCTATGGGTACTTTTGCCATCATGTTGGAAGCTGCTCTGGGTTTACTTGGGTTTACTAATAGGTTCCCAAAGGTAAACTCGTTTCCCGTTACTCTGAAGTAAACTTCGAAGTCTTTGAGGCTGTAATCAAGGCTGTTATTAGGTGCCCCAGTCTTTTATTCCCCCTCAAGATTACCTTCATAAGCCTTTGGGGCCATGTCATACCTTTTAAGGTCTGTCAGTCTGGTTCGTTGCCCAAAGCGATTTATAGTGAATTACTTGAATTTTGCGCAGAGGAGTGTTTTTGTGTTGAGTGAGTCGGTCTCAGAAAATATGCAACTGAAAACTCCCCACCCCCAGAAGGATTCGAACCCAGACAGCCTTAGTTCTGGAGTTTCTGGTGAGGAGTTTAATGTTGCCAATATATTTGTGCCCAAAAAGGTCACCGAGTGCTGTTGGGAATTGGGTTAAGGGCCGTGCGACTTCCAATTCTTTTAACAGTCGTTGTGGCCTAGTGGTGAAAGTACCGGACACGCTAAGGTGCATGGAGCTCGAATAAGGCTGCCTGGGTTCGAATCCTTCTGGGGGTTGAGGAGTTGAGGATTAATATTTATGAGTAAATAATTCCCAGAATCGAAATGAGTGTTAAACGTAATATGAAAAAAAATGAAAAAATAATTCTTAGCACAAAATCTCAATAATTCTGCTGTTTTTCCTGAGAAATAATAACATCCTGAACTATGCAAGGTGTTCAGGGGGTCTTAATTAAATTCCTGGCGAAATAAACGAGTCCCAATTTTTACAGGTGTTATGGCGGTGTTTTGCAGCACGAACGATGCTAAAAATTCATTGTTGTTGGTCAAGTAATTAGGAAACGCCAGCAAGTGGAATTGTTATATTATCGTGTGTCGGATTATAATTCAGAGTGTGTTATTGAGATTCTGAGGGACCGATACATGTTGCATTCTAGTTCATAGTGCATCAATGCCGGGAGCCGGTCGGCCGAGCGGACAGCACGCTGGACTTGTGATCCTGTGGTCCTGGGTTCGATCCCAGGCGCCGGCGAGAAACAATGGGCAGAGTTTCTTTCACCCTATGCCCTGTTACGTAGCAGTGAAATAGGTACCTGGGTGTTAGTCAGCTATCACGGGCTGCTTCCTGGGGGTGGAGGCCTGGTCGAGGACCGGGCCGCGGGGACGCTAAAAGCCCCGAAATCATCTCAAGATAACCTTAAGATATACCACCAGTGGGATGGTGTAGTGACTGTGGTTATCTGGTATTAACACATATGTGCACTTACAGGTGTGTGCCTCGCTTCCTGTGTGTTTGTGTGTGTGTGTGTGTATGTGTACGTGCGTGCGTGTGCTTTCCGCGTGCGTTACTGCATATACAAACGAGCAGTTCCACCTTTTGCTTTTCTATTTAGCCTTAAATGTGTTTTCACCCCAAAAAAGACCACATTATTAGTCGACAGGTAATTGCTTTGGGGGGAAGCCAGCGTGCCATTACTGCCCAAATACCCTGTGTGGCCGGTGGTGGTTCATGAGCTAAAAGTCAATATCCATTACGACTAATTTTGGATGGCTGGTCGACAGTTACCAGGCAGGAGGTGTACTGGGACGAGGACGAGGAGGAGGAGGAGGAGGAGGAGGAGGAGGAGGAGGAGGAGGAGGAGGAGGCACTGCACTAACAAGGCCACCCAATGAACAAACCCACAAGGGCCGTGACGAGGGTTCGAACCTACGTCCAAGAGGATCCTAGACGCTGCCTTAACTCGACTGAGATGAGTCGATTAAGGCAGCGTCTGGGATCCTCTCAGACGTAGGTTCGCAGTTCGAGTCTCCTAGAACCCAGATGAATGGAATTAATGTGGTATGTTTATGCACGTGTAGGAGGCGAGCCTGCCTCATTGCACAGGCAGAATTGACACTATGTTCCTCATTGTCAAAACCCAAAATATAGTCGATGAAAGCCGCCTATGAGCATCAATCAATCGGACTGTTATGTCTACGAGCTGCTAGAATCATCAGTCTGGTTGGACAGGCCATGAACTATTACGTCCGGTAGATTACAGCAAGGTATTCACACACTATAACAGGTTCGAGTTGTTGAGTTCCATCAAATATTAATCTAATATTAGAGCACCAGTACGGAACGACACCTCTCATGAGGGCTTAGGAGTCGTATGAGGCAACATATTGGCCTCTCTATGTTGCTCCATGTGGTCTTCATGAGAGGTGATGAGGTAATGTCACTTTACAGAAAAAAAAAGAGCAGTTGATGGGTCATGAGTAACTATTCTGACTCTGTTGACCTGTTGACCTCTGATATGAACAATTGACCTGTTGCTGTTGACTAGATTAACCATTATACCTTCTGATCAGCACTACAAGCAATATATATATATATATATATATATATATATATATATATATATATATATATATATATATATATATATATATATATATATATATATATATATATATGACCGAAAAGATAAGATTAATAATTCTAACCCGAATTTTCTCAATATTTCTTATGTTTTTCTTCAATGTCGGTGCTAATAAAAATATAATCGGTCAGTATCGACGAAAATAATATAAGCAAATGATATAAAATTGACCTAAATTGACCCGAGGGCCACCATTTCTCGTGGCCTCGACGGGGACAGCAACTCAGCGGCTTGTCAGAAATCCCGCCCACTACTCATGAAGGATTTTCCCATCAAACGCGTGTCTACAAACATGTTTCAAGGCTGAAAGTTTAACGTAGTGAGGCGTAACTAAAAAAAAATGAAAGTTATGGAAGTTGCAGGATCTGTCTCTTAGAACAGATTCAGTCTACCGAAAAAAATGTGTCGTACGACCTATCAGAGTTTATCGTGGGGCAAAACGGTCAGTCGGAGGCTGATGATATGGTGTGTTTCTCACTGTCCTGAATCTTATCGCACTGTGGGAAGATGAATGCCAACACAGCGAAATCTATATTGTCTCTTTGTTCAAAGTTGTAAGCCAGACGCTCGGGGCTAAGCTCAACAAATTTGCAGGGGGAATGGTCCAAGGTACGGGACGGACATAGACTGGTCGGGGTAGGCATAACGTAAATGGTTTCATATATATTAGAATTTACAAACAACCCCCACACCATTTTCATGGAATCAAGTGTGAAATATTGCATATGATCAACGAGGAATTTTAGTATCATAATATAATTTCTTAGACACATGTAGGTTTTATAGAAATAATATTTGCACACAGAGACTATCAGTGTCAACATTAACCCTGTCGTAGCTCAGTCGATTAAGGCAGTGTCTGGGATGCTCCCGGACGCAGGTTCGAATCCTCGTCACGGCCTTTGTGGATTTGTTTATCAGTGTCAAGTTAAACAACTGCCTGACCTCCACACAAACAAAAGTAGTTGCACTACAACTAGCTACCAGTACATTAAAAAAACAAAGGATTAATAATATTTTGTGATTAAAAGTCTGCTCTTCGAGCAATTGAAAACTTCTACTGGAAGATCGTCAGCAAGAACCTCATACTAGCAATTATAAATGACCAAATCGCTGCACAGAGTAAAGGGTTTCGAATCTCCTTTGTATGGATACCATCACCCATAAATATAACCCATCATATTGACAGACATTGCAGCCAAATTAGCGTGTAACAAAGATGAAGTTGAATTAGACCAAGGTATCCCCATCTCTGTTGTCAAGACTTATTCCAAACACTCAGGTCTGATAGGAGATAATTTTCTGACTCTCAAACATGTGGGCCGCACCTCCCAGACACCAAACACCACATGGGCCGCACCTCCCAGACACCAAACACCACATGGGCCGCACCTCCCAGACACCAAACACCACATGGGCCGCACCTCCCAGCCACCAAACACCACATGGGCCGCACCTCCCAGCCACCAAACACCACATGGGCCGCACCTCCCAGCCACCAAACACCACATGGGCCGCACCTCCCAGCCACCAAACACCACATGGGCCGCACCTCCCAGACACCAAACACCACATGGGCCGCACCTCCCAGACACCAAACACGACATGGGCCGCACCTCCCAGACACCAAACACGACATGGGCCGCACCTCCCAGACACCAAACACCACATGGGCCGCACCTCCCAGACACCAAACACCACATGGGCCGCACCTCCCAGACACCAAACACCACATGGGCCGCACCTCCCAGACACCAAACACCACATGGGCCGCACCTCTCAGACACCAAACTCCACATGGGCCGCACCTCCCAGACACCAAACACCACATGGGCCGCACCTCCTAGACACCAAACACCACATGGGCCGCACCTCCCAGACACCAAACACCACATGGGCCGCACCTCCCAGCCACCAAACACCACATGGGCCGCACCTCCCAGACACCAAACACCACATGTGCCGCACCTCAGGTTTGACCGGCACTTACGCTGATTTATGGCCGTATTTTTACGGACGTCATCGTTCTGGAAGTCATAATATGTGATGGATCGGCCCAGCCCGCGGACACCAGGGGGCCCTGATCGCTCCTCCACGCTATCCAACCCAATACAACATTGCTGACCAGAGCTAGAATCCATCCACCATCTACATGCAACCTCTTACGAAACCTGTATATCTTTCCTGAATTAGCTCAGTGCTTTTCCCCTAATAATTACCTTACCTTCAAATCAGGCGTTTACATAGAGTTCTATATTGTAAAACATTAAATTTTTGGGATTTTGTATAGTCACTTTTTTTTTATACGATTTATGATAATTATTTTTACTGCTGTTTAATTTGTACCTTTTAGCAATAATTTAGCTGTTCAGTGTTTGTCCGGGTGTACTGCAGTTGTTCACTTGTTTTGTTCAGGTGTACTGCAGTTGTTCACTTGTTTTGTTCAGGTGTACTGCAGTTGTTTACTTGTTTTGTCCAGTTGTACTGCAGTTGTTTACTCGTTCAGGTGTTCGTTCAGTTCAGAACGAACTGACCACTACAGCTGTCTGTATCCGGCACTCCTAAACAACATTCTGTTGTTCGCATTGATTTAAAAAAACAAACAGATGTTGATCATTCATTGTTTAGAACCAAACAGAAACCCAAAAGCTGTAATCTGCAGATTAACTGCATATAACTCTACTCGTTATAATTACAATGGATGCAATTCCAATTAAATATGGAATTTATTACACGGCAACATTTTCAACGCCTGGTTTGTATATATATTTAACATTGCAGGCATTGTGACGATTGGGCAAGGATATCAACAACAGCATTTATCAATGGAATTAAAAGAGTAAGTGTGAATTTCTCCTTTTTTTTTTGGAGGGGGGAATACGTTAGATAGAGATAGTTGATGTTGATCATACTCATTTACTTGATTTGGTGCAGTGACGGTATCGTTTTCTTGCAAAGTCTGAGTTCGATCCCTGAGGGTTGAAGTGGTCTGAGGATCGTTTCTTCAATCCTTCTTCATATCTTAGCTATTTGTCTTTATATTATAGTTCCTTGTCCTTATACCAAAGCTCCTTACTCTCATTTTAGCTCTTTGTCCTCACATTTCAGCTCCTTGTCCTCATATTTCAGCTTCTTGTCCTCATATTTCAGCTCCTTGTCCTCACATTTCAGCTCCTTGTCCTCATATTTCAGCTTCTTGTCCTCATATTTCAGCTTCTTGTCCTCATATTTCAGCTCCTTGTCCTCATATTTCAGCTTCTTGTCCTCATATTTCAGCTCCTTGTCCTCATATTTCAGCTCCTTGTCCTCACATTTCAGCTCCTTGTCCTCATATTTCAGCTCCTTGTCCTCACATTTCAGCTCCTTGTCCTCATATTTCAGCTCCTTGTCCTCACATTTCAGCTCCTTGTCCTCATATTTCAGCTTCTTGTCCTCATATTTCAGCTTCTTGTCCTCATATTTCAGCTCCTTGTCCTCATATTTCAGCTCCTTGTCCTCACATTTCAGCTCCTTGTCCTCATATTTTAGCTCCTTGTCCTTATATTTCAGCTCCTTGTCCCTTGGAGCCACAAGCAGATGGAGCCTCAGTAATGTATTTATCTTGTCTAACTCTGACTTCTATATCAGCTTATATAAAAATTGAATACAAAATTAATAAACGCCTCTCTCACCAGTATCCCCTCCCGTGTAAAATTAATTTCTAAAATGTTCTAAATATATGGTTAAGATATAAAAAAATATATCATTCATATAAAATGTAAATATTTGATTCTAAAATTGTGTGCATAAATAGATACTGTATAAATATGTCTTCGAAGTTTTCTTTAACCCTCGTTTTCGCTATCAAGAAAATGACGCGATGATACTACGTCATTTTAAACGCAAAATGATTAGATATTCCCCCCCCCCCTACGAAATTCAACAGTACTCATATGTAAATCGCACGAAGATCATCGAAATGAGCTAAATTGATTGAGTTTCCTGTTGGAGTTTCAAGGCCTTGGACTCCTTGGACCCGGCGGGCCTTCGCCTCTGGCGGTAACAACGATAGATCATCTCCATCGCTAATCCGATTGGAGATCGTGCAGCCTCCGGGCAAGCCGTACCCGATCGTCAGGCGAGATTATTCGGTGTCAGTCGATCCTATCACTTTGTGTGAGGTTATTGAGGGCCACTGTAATTGCCTACTGACCGACTAACAAGGATATTCCTTTATATAGTCTAGTACAATAATCGACTCGGTATATATATATATATATATATATATATATATATATATATATATATATATATATATATATATATATATATATATATATATATATATATATATATATTAGTATATTTTGGTAGCAGTCTTTCCTGTAGACATATTTTATTAAATATGACCGAAAAAGTAAGATTAATAATTCTAACACGAATTTTCTCAATCTTTCGTACATTATGCTTCACTGTTGGAGGTAAATCAAAAATCACTTCTCCAAAATAAAAATGAATTTTGGAGAAGTGATTTTTGATTTACCTCCAACAGTGAAGCATAATGTACGAAAGATTGAGAAAATTCGTGTTAGAATTATTAATCTTACTTTTTCGGTCATATTTAATAAAATATATATATATATATATATACACACCTCTCGGTCTATATATCCTGTGATATAAAGTTTTTAAAACAATGGTTAAGATTTATATTAATATAGATAAAAAATAAAGTTCAATAGTGGGTATAGTATTCAAGGTAGACTATTTTATTTAAAGGAAATCTATTTTATTTCAAGGAAAGCTATTTTTTTTCAGGGTAAGGTATAGTTTCAATTGTGATGTTGAAAACAGATGCAATAGCTTATAATAGAGTGTAATTGCCAGAAACACTGAATGCTTTAAAAAAAAAAACACATAAATATTGGGTTAATAAGCCCTTGAGATCCTCTGATTGTATCGTTAGTCTCAGGGACTATAGTTAAACTATTTAACCTAGTCTTAGTCTTGTAACAAAGTCTCTTGTTAGTCTTCCACTAACAAGCAGCATTGTTTGGGCTCAAGAACAGGGCTTCCTTTGTATATTCCTTTCCATTGTGATTGTTTTTGATTGTGGCCATTTATCACATGGACCAGCTGGTATTATTTGGCGATTGCTGGCGCAACTATAATTGCTTGTTTGTGTGCTGAGGACTGTTGAGCGTCGTTCAACAGTTACGTAACTGGCACTGCGATGGGGGGAGGGGGGGGGGTTTATCTTGAGGTTATCTTGAGATGATTTCGGGGCTTTCAGTGTCCCCGCGGCCCGGTCCTCGACCAGGCCTCCACCCCAGGAAGCAGCCCGTGACAGCTGACTAACACCCAGGTACCTATTTTACTGCTAGGTAACAGGGGGGGGGGGGGAGTTTACCGCAAAGCCAGCTGTCAGTAAGAGTCCACATACTCTAGGTTTTGTAAACTTATTGTTAGTGTTGAAAGATCTAAGTTGGGTAGAATTTTTTTTTATAAAATAAACAAGATAGGGTTACCCGGCTGGTGCCGGGTCGCACGGGGTGCCCAGGGGCCAGATTCACGAAAGCAATTACGCAAGCACTTACGAACGTGTACATCTTTCCTCAATCTTTGACACCTTTGGTTACATTTATTAAACAGTTTACAAGCATGAAAACTTGCCAATCGACTGTTGTTATTGTTATAAACAGCCTCCTGGTGCTTCGGGGCTCATTAACTGTTTAATAATTGGAAACAAAGCCGCCAAAGACTGAGAAAAGATGGACAGGTTCGTAAGTGTTTGCGTAAGTTCTTTCGTGAATCTGGCCCCAGGTCTTCACTGCACACCTTTCCCACAACCCCCCACCACACACCTTCCAAGTCCTCCTGTCCCCTCATCAATGTATAACTACAACAGTCACTCACAGTCTCACAAACTCATAGACTCACACATACACTCACTCACAGACGTCACCAAATGTACTGATATAACTTATATATATATTTGCTGACAACAAATGAAAACCTCTGCATTTACCACGCTAAAACTAGAATGAAACGTAAATATGAATAAAATGAATTTACATGATGTAAATTTACATTATGCCTCACACAAGAAATATATATATATATATATATATATATATATATATATATATATATATATATATATATATATATATATATATATATATATTGCAGTTCCTTATATAGCTCAAATGTTTTAATCTATGTCTCACTTTTCACCTTATTACTGTGGTTATCGCTTCATTAGGTAATGGGTTGGTGGGTGGTGATTGTTGATGTGACGAGGTCATACTCATGTGGCCTCCTATGACCTCATATGACCTATGACCTCATATGACCTATGACCGCATGAAGGGGTCAAAGATGTTGATGTATGCTGTCTATTTAATCATACTTGCGCTCATCTATATGTATATATAGGCACGCAAGCACACACACACGCACACACACACACACACACACACACACACACACACACACACACACACACACACACACACACACACACACACATGAAAATAATATTTAATATATTCCAAAGAACGTTTGCACATTCTTGCATGATGCACAGAGGTGCACAGATGGTGCACAGATGGTGCACAGATGGTGCACAGATGGTGCACAGATCACCATCAAGATCATGTGCGTCCCTCGAAGTCAACATCACACGGAAGTTGCCACTCTGCTCATGACAATATTTTACTAGAGGGAAAATGGGAAGCATTTTGCGAGAACACATATCATTTGATAGTGGGCATAAAAACCTCGCGTGATATTGAAATACGAAAGGTGCAGCTCGATCTGACACGATTCATTACCTTTCGGGATCACATTCTGATTAATAAAAATATTTCTGCAGAGCTGGGTCGGATTTAGTGCGTTTTTTAATAGGCTAGAATAATGGATTGAGATATGCTATTAGATTTGACTTTTCTCTCGTGCGCGCGCGCGCGCGTGTGTGTGTATGTGTACTCACCTAGTTGTGTGAGGGGGTTGAGCTCTGGCTCTTTGGTCCCGCCTCTCAACCGTCAATCAACAGGTATACAGGTT